AATCGATGCAGACGCCAATTTGCAATCATGCATTTATGCCAATTAACTCCAAGCGAGAGACTAAGTTGAGCTTATTTGTTAAAGTCATAAAAAATAAATTTAACAATGGTACCGTGCGTTTCCGAAAATAGAGAAATTAATTCACTTTGAGTATTGATAAGCCGAATAGCATGTCGAAACGAAAAATTGTCTCAGTGTATCGATTGAAAGCTTTATAAAGTTTCTAACTTAAGCAGTTTACAGCGTAAACATCTTTGTAAAGGGAAGTAACTCAGAAAGATTTTATTAATTTCGTTTGTTTTTTCGTACGGCATATAAACCACAATGGGTTATTTAATGCTGACAAGATTTTATTGCTGGTAATATTTTCTTTTTCAGAAATGTATTACTGCTATTTTTTTTCCAAAAATGTATTGCTCGTAATATTTTCTTTCCAATAATGTATTACTGGCGATATTTCTTCTTCAAAAATATATCGCTAGTAATATTTTTTCTTCAAAACTGTATTGCTGGTAATATTTTTTCCTTTCAAAATGTTTTGCTGGTAATATTTTTTCCTTCAAAAATGTATTCCTGGTAATATTTTTTCCTTTAAAAATGTATTGCTGGTAATAATTTTTCTTAAAAAATTTATTGCTGGTAATGTATTGCTGGTAATAATTTTTCTTCAAAAATTATAGCTGGTAATAATTTCTTGCAAAAACATATTGCTGGTATTAAAACCTATTTTTACACTTTCATAGTATTTTGATCTCAGTTAGGTTGGGGGTGGGTTCAACTATTTTCGCATAGCTGTAACCCTAACAGATGCTACCACCCCGGGTCAGAGCATAATTGGTAACGCCAGCAATTAAGAGGTGGTCCCACGCTCATCAAAATCTCCTGATCGGAAGCGTGGCTGTTGGACCTAGTTTATCGTGTTACCCAGGATGTGGATGTAGTTTATCGTTATACCCAGGACGCAAACTCACAAAGAGAAAATCTTTATATGCGTGAGGAAAAGCATTTGCTAGTATATACGGTTTGGGAAAAATAGTTTTAGATTGTAGAGAATTAGCATTCTTATTTGGCCTGATGAGACGAGATCGATTTGATCTCGCGAAATAAAATATTATCATGGATTTCTAAAGTATCAGTTTACATCATTATATATATATATATATATATATATATATATATATATATATATATATATATATATATATATATATATATATATATATGTGTGTGCGTGGAGAAATAGATAGCGTTTAATATAAAAATGGGCACTGAGTTCAGTTCTAGTCGATGACAGTCTGTTTCATATTGACTGCAATGTGCAGGAAAGGAATGCTACATTCAAGTATGTTCCCTCCGCCTCGGAGTTGACTTCAGTGTCTACATTTATGATTACAAAAAATCTCTACCTGATTTTGTGCATTTTTATTTATAAATATAGCACACATTAAAAGTATATATTATCATCATGAAGCGATTCTTAATAATATAAAATAGTAAAACTGTTCCACAACAAGAGCTCAATGTATTTATTATAACAGAACATATTTATTACATAAAATAGATATCCACATTTACTTCATTCGAATAGCTATTTCAACCAGCATGTCTTGCATTTATAGCATTGTAAACTCAGGTTTGGCAATGCCAACATTATAGTTGTTGATTTAAATAGCTATTCGAACCAGGTAAATTTGGAATTCAGTTCTATGTATTATATATATATATATATATATATATATATATATATATATATATATATATGATTTTATTAAGGATTTTTTTTTAAATATCTTGAAAGGTTTGGACAATTCCGGTTTAATGAAAGAGAAATTTTATATAACTGGAAGTAAAGTTACGATATGTGATTCGCGCTAAAATTCAGTACGCTAGAATTTCATTTTAAATAGTTATAGAATGTAAGTTTTCACGAATCTCATGCTAATTTTGGTCGTGATTGATGAATTCATTGACTACTACTTTCTGCTGTTGGAAATTACGCGACAAAACATGCTTATGTAATAAAAACGAAAAAAAAAAAACTCTAATAAAATTGCCACACAAATGGATCATATAAATCTCAAACACACGATTACAATTGTTTCCGTTCGTTATCGTATATGATGAATTAAAGAACAAATAGGAAACGTTTATATAACATGCTTCACTTTTATTAATGTTTCATCAGAGAATGAGATATGGCGATAAGGAATAAAACTTCTGTATTTTTTTTTTCTTTTGTGCTGTTTGATTTCATTTGGTTAGTCATGTTTCACGTGCATTAACTTTCCTAAACAAACGTCAGTACAATTTGTGTCGTTACGACTTCAAGGAGAGACGATGCGTCTATTCGAGATCCCAAGCCTTTGTTGGGATTCAGTTGGTGGTATATATTCGTAATCCTGAGGGCACCTCGAGGCGATGTAATGGTTAGCAAGCTTATCTCGCTAGAACAAATATAACTGAGTAGTGAGTTCGATCCTCACTGGGTACCCCATTCTTTCGGCCTTGTGCCACATCTAAGCTACACTTAGAAAATCACTATATTCGCAAACCTGTGCGCGTG